TTTTTTTTGCTTGCGGTTGATGAAGTTCTAGTTCTGTCTCGTACTTCTTTTTTTCGTCTCCAGTTGATGATGAAATTAAGTTTATCAATCGATCGCATTTATTACATATGTCTGAATGAGGATGGTGGACTTTTAAATTAAAATCAGTATTGAAAATATGTCGGGAATATGATTCCTTAACTGGGGGGTTTGTCGTTATCAGCGCAACTGTTATCTTTCTAGAGATAAAACATTTTACGAATGGTTAAATCGTACGAAAGGTATTTCGTACATATTTGGATTTTTATTATAAGAGTAATGACTCCTATAATGCGGAAATAATCTGCTATGTTCTATCAGTCTTTTTCTTGCATTATCTGATACTTTGTCAGTGAGGATTTTTTTCCTCTTTTATCAGATACCACAAAATTGTCTTTGTCAAGTTTTTACACAAAACCTTACAGCGACTATCGCTAATATCAAAAGTTTTTAGGAAAAACTCTCTTCTTACAAGGAGATCAAGAAGTTTAATTTCTGTACTGTAGTTCTTTTTGCTATTAGCTAGTTTTTTTTAGGTTCTGCTTTCATATTCTTGGCCAGCGAGTCTCTTATTTGTAATTTTTATTCCTCTTTCATTCATGTAAATTTTTCAGGATTGAAAAAATTGATTGTTAAAATTGTTTAAAAAAATTTGAACACCTTTTCGTCTGAGCGACCTCTTGAACCTTATTTTGGGGTATCCCAAGAAAGTGATTATGTACAAAAAGCTCATGGGAATATTTTTTTTTCGGACGAACCCGAGCTTTTCGTCTTTCTATTATATTCAATTATATAAAGATGTATCGTTTAGAATTTTAATTAAGTTTTTGGTAATTAAATGTTCACCTAATACTGTTAACACATTGTTATTTTATCTGTTCACTTATATTTTCAGTTAGATGTTTCAGTTTCAGATGATTCAGTTTCTGGATATTGACTTGAAAATATTCACAATTCACACACTAGAACGTGATGTTCTTTAGTTATTCGATACTTATGAGTAATATCGGTATGACTTAATAGAATTCGAGAAATTTTTACCAGGTGAGCTCTTTTTAGGTGCATGGTTTCCCTATCTCGATGTAATTTCTTTTAATTTAGATTCCGATAAATCCCACTTCTTTTGACACGCACTAATCACTTTTTCTTTGATTAGCTGTTTTATATCATTGAAGGTAGCTTTGGACACTATTGGAGAAAACTTAAACCAACGTGTCAACATGGTATTCCAGCCAACTACGCGAAGTCAAATTCAACAAGTCGCTCTCTCTGCTAGTGACCATCACAAATCACATCGAAGAAAATATACAGTCCATTATTTGTAACAATAAAACACTGAAAACTTTGTTTTCAAACTTCCACAAAATTTATTTTAACTTATCACTACAGCTGTTTCGGCTGATTGCCTTTCTCAAGTGATCTATTTTTGGCATGCGTTTACACTTTATAGTCTCTAATGAAATATGTTGAGGAGGGAAGAACTGTTTGTCTCAAGTTGGTCATTCAGAATTATATCTGTGTTTTTTAATTTGTTAATTTCCATCAATTCTAACAAGGATAGCTTAAGGCCTTTATTTTTAATGTGAAGAATTTTAAATTCGTCATTAAAAGAATGATTGTGATCTAAAAGGTGAAGTGCGTATGTAGACTCTGTTTTTCTATTATTGAAAGCCCTTTTATGTTCTGCTATTCGTTTATTAAAGTTTCTACCAGTTTGACCGATGTAAGTTTTTGGGCAGTCGCCACATTTAAGTTTGTACACACCACTGTGTAGTTTTTTAAAATTTGCCTAGGTTTTTATTTGTTAAATAAATTTTGGTAAAATAAATGAATTATGATGAATTTGACGTATTGTCAAAAATAAAATTTTGTTTAAAAAATTCTTCTTTGTTTAGTAACAAAACCATTGATAGATGCCCGAAAAAATGTAACAAATACATGGAAAATTCAAAATGTGATATTTTACTGACTGCATATATAAATTAAATAGAAATAATATAATTATAAATTTTGCTTAAATTTTGAATTTCTGACCTTTTGTTTAAATTATTATCACTTTTGCTAATACAAACCATTTCCAAAAAAGTTCTTTTAAATTTATTACTTTCATTACATAAAATTTTAATATTATCAACATCCATAATATGGTCTTTGTCTATTACATGCTCTGCCAAAGCACAAGATGGTTTCTTAATTCTACAATCACTCTTGTGAGAAATAATGCGATTTGAGAGATTTCTTCCAGTCTCACCAATATACTCAGCTTCACACTGAGTACAAACAATGCTGTATACTACATTTGTTTGATCTAATTTGTCTATAGGATATTTAGTTTTGGAATATAAAGATGAAATAGTTTTGATGTTCTTTGTTGCTATTTTTATATTGTCAATAACCTTTAATGTTTGTATTAATTTAGGAGTTAATGGTGGTATAAAAGGTATTGAATGATAATATATGTTTTGATTGTTGGATACAGTGTTTTGAGATTTAGCAAAAAATGGTGTTAAGTTATTTATATTTAATAAATTAGAAAAAAGCATCCTATGTAGCATATCTGGAGGATAAGAGTTTTCAATTAAAATATTTTTTAACAAATGAAGATCTTCTTGTAGATAGTCTGGATGAGAAAGTTTTAAAACACGTTCCTTTAATCCTGTTATAAGGTTCATTTTCATCTTATTTGGATGATTAGAGTAATAGCTTATAAATCTATTACTACATATGGGTTTTCTGAACCATCTAGTTTTCAACATAGTGTCTGTATTTCTTACAATTCTCATGTCAAGGAATGGTAGAGAATTATCTACCTCTTCCTCAACTGTAAATTGTATATGTTGATTCTTCTTCTTCTACGGCACTACAGCCCAAAATGAGCCTTGACCTCCTTTATTTTTTGCCTCCACCCTTGTCTGTCTGTGGCTGCTCTTCTCCATACACGGACTCCTAAAAGTGCTTGTGCGTCGCTGCTTACTGTGTCTTCCCAGCGCTTTCTTGGCTTTCCAACTGGTCTCTTTCCCTGCATTCTGGCGTTCAGTGCTCGTTTTGGTAGCCTATCCTCTCCCATTCGTATCACATGTCCGGCCCATTGCAATCTTTGTATTCTATATGTTGATTATGATTGTTTATTTATTGTTATATATATTTATCAATGAGACCAATTGTTTCATCTCTATGCCCTCCAAATGGACCAATAGCGCAGCTCCTCACTGACATCTTAACCAATGCTTATAATTTAAATAACAATTTTTACATAAAAGATTCATTTGATTTTAGTTCTTTCATTAATAATTTCCAATTACCACAAAATTATGTTTTAGTTAGTTTTGATGTAACATCTCTTTTTACCAATTTACCTTTAAATTTAATCATAAGTAGTGTTGAAAAACATTGGAATGAGAAAACATATATTATCATTCACTACCTTTTATACCACCATTAACTCCTAAATTAATACATTAAAGGTTATTGACAATATAAAAATAGCAACAAAGAACATCAAAACTATTTCATCTTTATATTCCAAAACTAAATATCCTATAGACAAATTAGATCAAACAAATGTAGTATACAGCATTGTTTGTACTCAGTGTGAAGCTGAGTATATTGGTGAGACTGGAAGAAATCTCTCAAATTGCATTATTTCTCACAAGAGTGATTGTAGAATTAAGAAACCATCTTGTGCTTTGGCAGAGCATGTAATAGACAAAGACCATATTATGGATTTTGATAATATTAAAATTTTATGTAATAAAAGTAATAAATTTAAAAGAACTTTTTTGGAAATGGTTTGTATTAGCAAAAGTGATAATAATTTAAACAAAAGGTCAGAAATTCAAAATTTAAGCAAAATTTATAATTATATTATTTCTATTTAATTTATATATGCAGTCAGTAAAATATCACATTTTGAATTTTCCATGTATTTGTTACATTTTTTCGGGCATCTATCAATGGTGAATAAATCTTCTTTTTTGTTACTAAACAGAGAAAAATTTTTTTAAACAAAATTTTATTTTTGACAATATGTCAAAAATAAAAATTTTTTAAGTTAGTATTTATGACATTTAGGCTGGTTTTTAGCTACTCTATTTTTGTTTACAAATTCAATTTTTTGTTAAGAAACTTCATCAAAATTTTTCAGAGAAACATTTATTAGAATAAGACATTTTTTTATTAATATTTTTTGTACTTAATATGTAAGCAGTAGTTTTATATAAAAAACCAATTTTATTTGGTGAGTTAACAAAAAATTTTTTATTTCTAGTTCAACTTTGTAAGATATTTTGTATTTTTTAGAAGCTCTTATTAAAAATTGTAATCACAATTGAAAGCTCGAGTAAAAAATAGTCAACAAATAGCCCCTTTTATTGACTCCAACCCATCAAAAACAGTTTTATATTTTTTCAAACGAGTCACAAGTACTTCTTTTTTCTTACTCTTATATATATATATATTATATATATATATATATATATATATATATATATATATTTATATATGTATATATATATATATATATATATATATATATATATATATATATATATAAAGTATGTTCATCTGTCTTTTTGAAAACCATGTTGTTCTCCTATGATTGCTTCTGTAATATTTTTTAATCTGTTTTAATTTAATGCTGTATTTGTTAATCTAAATTTGTAGTTCCTCGAAGTTTCTATTTGCTTCAATTTTATACGGCATGTTTATTTTACGATTTTTAGTTCGTTATGCTGAATGATGTGTGTCCAATTCTCGCTATAAACAGAAAAAAACATGGCCAGGTTAACTCTTTGAATGCAATGGCAAACTGCCGAATAGTAATACATAGTTTAAACCTCCATATCGAGATTTATTTTTGGATATTTCTTAACTATTATGAAATTGAAATTTTTGAAATATTTTGCAAAAATATTTGACATTAAAATAAACAGCTTTTTATCAACTAATATATAAAGTTTTTTTAATATGTAATATATTTTTAGGTTATAAGGGAAAGCTGTCCCAACAAAATATTTTAGATAAGGCCTTCTCTATTGACGAAAATGATCTGGCTACGCCATTAGAACCTATTCAAGTTGATTCGTTTCCAGTATTTACTTGCAACGGACCGATAAATGACGAAATTACGTCAGACAGCATGTAAGACAAAAATATAATTGAGGAATTTGCCTTTGCTTTTTTTTATTTGTAAGTTTTGCGTCTCATTTGTTTTTCTTTTCGTGCTTACTATTAAGTTGATTAGATATTTACTTTAGTAACTGTCTCAATAACCAAGGGTTCAAGGCAAAAAAATGGGGATCAAAAAGTCTATTGGAGATCAATATAAATTCTCTTATGTATGTTATAGGATAAGTATAACTATATATTGCATTAGAATAATATATATGCCCTGAAGAAGTATACAGTGTTGCAATTTGACAATTTCCCTTCATTAATTCGTTTATTCCTGTAAATAATATGAAAAATCGGGAAGACAGTAAATTTTGTTTTTATGGGGAAGACTTTCAGCGAATATTTTTAGACCTCAAGGTTTATTCCCCTAGCAACGATAAATGTTACCCTTTAAGTTTTAAATGAATGAAAAGCTATCAAATTGCGGATCATTTTGAACTTAGCCGTTGCCAAAAAATCATGTTCGAATGTCACAAAAGTAATTAGAATTTTCCTGCTCTGAGATAAGTGGTTATAAAGTTATTATATAAATAACAATTATTTTATTGAGGCTTCTTTAATTTGAAACCGTTTGACGATTAATTGGCACTGTTCCAACGCTTGAATAACATGAAAAAATATAGTCTATACGCTACACGTTCGATTTTAGTTATTTTACTTTTATAACAATAACTTAATTAGCAAAAAATTAACCAAACAAAAAAAAAGACACTTACAAACTATCTTAATAATTGTTCAAAATGTTGTCCATTTTGCTCTAAACAATTTCTTCTTCTTTAAGTTCCATCTTCTATCGAAGGTTGGAAATCATCATGGCTATGCGGACTCTGTTGACTGCCGCTCTAAAAAGAAAGTTCTGCACTACTGCATTCAAACCATTTCCTTAAGTTCTTAAGCCAAGATATTCTTCGTCTTCCCACATTTCGCTTTCCTCGGATTTTGCCTTGCATAATAAGTTGTAATAATGCGTATTTTTGCCCTCTCATCACATGTCGCAAGTACTCAAGTTTTCGTCTTTTGATAGTTAATATTATTTCATCTCATTGAGACTTGACAGACTTGTTTTAGTGTCCACGCTTCCAAGCCATAAAGAAAAGAGAGAACACGTAACATCGAAGCTTTCTCAGGCGTAGTTCTAACCTTGTATCCCGACAACAAAGAATCTTTTTAAGGTTAATGAATGATGCACGTGCTATTTCAATACGTGTCTTTAATTTCTTTGGTTTCGTCTACATCTAATGTTATGCATATTCCTAAGTATTTATAGTTATTAAAACTCTCAATTGCAGTATCTTCAATAGTCAATTGGTTATTTTCATGTGCAGATTTAGTCATGATCATGCATTTAGTTTTCTTTAAATTTATCTTCAGTCCGTACTCATGGCAGCGTTATTAAGGCGTTGCATTACGTTCTGTAAATCATTGTTGTTATCCGTCATTATTACTGTATCGTCTGCAAAACATAAATTATTCAAAACTTCTCCATTGATAGATATACCTTCTATTGAGTCTCAGAGCGCTTCTTGAAATACCGCTTCACTGTAGACATTGAAAAGTAGTGGGGACAGCACGCAACCCTGGCGGACTCCTCTCTGTATTTTGATATTTTGGGTGTACTGGCTGTCAACTCTTACCTAGGCAGTTTGATTCCAATATAAATTAGATATAATTTTCATATCACGACTATCAATATTTTTGCTTTTTAATATATCTATAAGTATTTTATGTTGAACCTTATGAAATGCCTTTTCAAAGTCTACAAAACATAAGTACATGTCCTGATTAATGTCCATGCATCTCTGAGCCAGCACATTCAAGCCGAACAAAGCATCTCTTATACTCATACCATTTCTAAAGCCAAATTGTGTGTCACTAATTTCATATTCAAGAGGTTTAATTTCATTAAAGCTATTGTTCTGCGATCTGAGCAAGTTGTTGCACTTTGCTTTTTGGGAATTGCTACAAAGGTCGATTGCAGCCATTGTCTGGGGATTGTGGCAGTCTGATATATTAGATTAAAGAGTTCAACCATTACATCAATAACATCTTCATCGATGAGTTTTAATAATTCGATGGGCACATCATCTGGTCCAGTAGCTTTACCCTCTTTTGTGTTTTTGATGGCGTAGGTGACTTCTTCTCTTAATATTGGTGGTCCGGTATCCTCGTTGATTTCTAATGACAGTTCTTCTCTTTCATCATTAAATAGTTGTTGGATGTAATTGGTCCAGTGACATAATCTTTCCTTCATATCAGTAATACTAACCCCTTTATCATTTTTAAAGATATTCGATCTTGTACCTTTTCTAGAACCTGTCATTTGTTTGATTTTTTTGTGTAAATTAAAGCTATCATACTTTTTATTCAGATCTATTTACTATTATGTTTACTATTCCTTCCCGTGATATTTTGTAGATGTTTTCTTTTCCGATTTTTGTGTTTAAGTTGCCTATTACTACTTTTCCCTAATCGGCTATAGCTACATGTGTTATGTAGTTTTGCCAATTTTGCACTGTGGCGGTGCTATACCCATGTTTATTTTAATATAATGTTTCACTTGTGCTCATATCATTTCTATGGGGTTTAATTCGCAGTGATAAAATGGTAAACGCAAAACTGTATGTTCTCTTTCCTCTGCAATTACATCAAGCGCTTTTTTTATCAAATTCTGATTTTACGTGTGCAACACATTTCAACAAATCTTTTTTAACCTCTTATAGTAGAGTTAGGTTAACTGAATAATTGATATCACAGCCGCAGAACACAAGAATTGACACAAGATTCAGATGCTTGACAGACAATTGAACTGGCATCAACGCAATGGTAAATAAGGATAAAATCATTGAAAAATGCAAAGAATAGTAAAAGAGGCATATATTCCATGAGAGAATGAAAAACGTGAGCGCTAAAGACCGTTGTCTGAACTGTCATCAGCTTTATTGCACACCGATTTTTCATTTTATTTACGGGAATGAAAACATTAACGGTGAGAAGTTTTCAAATTGTCACCCTGTATATCACATACATTAAACGTAGGTTAGACATTGCCTTTCCGCTATTTGCCCATCCGCTTTATAACTAGCATTGCTTTTCTAAACAATATTAATTTAAAAGTATGTATGTGAAATTTTAAAATCTTACAGTATTTCTTTCACAGTTCTGATGAAGATGTCATCGAAGATGAAAACGATTTGGATGATAAGACGCAGACAGAATCTGCAGAAACATTACCATTGTCAAGCTTGATGAAAAGGGTTAGCTCAGATGACCTCTCCCAATTCTGTGCAGGACCTTATAGTGACATTACCCCGGAGAATATTTCTGACGAACACAAACAGACAGAATCGGTATTAAAATTGGCATCGTCAAGATTGAGGAAAAGTAAGAGCTCCGATGATCTCAATCAATTATTTAAAACATCTGTTGGAGATAGTATTATAGGTACATTAACATTTAATCAATAGGTTGCTTGAACCTCTATACATATATTACATTTATTTTTGTCATCTTTTCCTTTGTCATCTTTTTATGTTTTTTCAATATGATTTCTTCCATAATCTTTTTTATCACTCATATATGTTAAATACCTGTAACTATCGCTTTTTATTATCATTATTATCAAATTTAGCCATGAGACTCTCACTCATTTTCAGTCAATTATTCACTTATCCTATTCTCTGTTCACAAATTGTTGATAGCACGAAATATGCCTCAAAATTATCAAACGGTCGTAAAATTTGTATCATCATAGGCGTTCCTGAGGTGTTTATTCATTAAAATTAATATTAATATTAATAATGTTTTAATACTGATATATTTAGTAAAAAACAATTAAAACTTTCACGGCTAATGTTGGTTATTATATTATATTAATAAAAATAATAATTTAACCATTAACAATTTTGTAAATAAGAATACCTCATCTCTTTGGATATTTCAATACTAATCTTCGCGTTTAATCACTTTACTAGAAAACCTGGTATTTATATCCGAAAGTACTATCGGTTGCAAGATAATTAGGATGGAATTCCCTAGATTTTTAATAATATAATGGGTATAGATGCCGGATTTGGCCACGTACCTCGTCTGTTTAGTTTATATTCGAAACTTAACTTAAAAGGGTGAAGTTATTACAAACGAAAACAATTTGTTTGTTTAGTACGTTTTTGATCGCATGTAATTTACGGCTCGTCGGTGTTTCCGCTTCTACGGCAGTAATTAGCGTCTCGAATATTTCTTTTGCGAATTATATGCAGTGCGTGAGTGATTTTTTATTCCATATACCTACGAACATATACGTACCTTTCGCTCGTGCTCGTTTTGTTGGATTGTTTGTGATGGCTTCATCATCAACATCATCAAATTTTACTCCGGTACTGTTGCGTACAGTCAGTAAGTCTGTCTATTCACCAAGAGAGAAGACTATTGTCCTGAATGTTCACGATGCTCTGGTTTCTCAGAATCCCACAAACACTGTTCGCAACATAGTCGAAAGTTGTGCCAACATGACTGGCGTAGGGGAGTCAACTATATATAGGTTCCTATCAGAAAGAAAAAAACACGGTATAGCTAACCCAAACACAAACGAACACTTAAAGAAAGGGAAAAAGCCTATTGAACTTGATGAATTTGCCAAAAATGGTATTCGAAGGAAAATTCATGGATTTTTTTTCAAAAAAGAAATACCAAACCTAAATAAAATTTTACAAGAAGTTAGAGATGATCCGGATTTGCCTCATATCGGACGAACTAAATTGTGGCAAGTTTTAAAAGAATTAAATTTTCGGTGGGAGAAATCAGACCGAAAATCACTTTTGATTGACCGGGAGGAGATAATATGTTGGAGAAGAAATTATCTAAGATCCATACGAAAATTCCGGGCTGAAGGAAGGCCAATCTTCTACCAGGATGAATCGTGGGTAAACTCAGGTCATACTCTAAAAAAAGTTTGGTCAGATAAAAATATATTAAGCTCCAGGCAAGCCTTTATGGAAGGTTGGTCTACTGGTATCTCCCCACCTTCTGGTAAAGGCAGTAGATTAATAATTTCTCACATTGCTAGTGAAAAAGGATTTGTTAAGCATGGTTTGTTGGAATTTCAGTCCAAAAGCACAAAAGACTATCACGAGGAGATGACAGCTGATGTTTTCGAAGAGTATTTTGTGCAGATGATTGAACACATACCACCAAATTCAATTATAGTATTAGATAATGCACCTTATCATTCACGACTAGTAGAAAGACTTCCAACGACTGCGTGGAAAAAACAGGATATTCTTGACTGGCTGCGGAATAAGTACCTGCCTTACGAAGATGGAATGGTAAAAGCAGAACTTTTAAAAATTGCCCGGCAACACAAATCTAAGTTCAAGAAATACGTAGTTGACAAAATGGCGGAAAGGAGAAACATCACAGTCCTTAGACTTTCACCCTACCACTGCGAAATAAATCCAATTGAACTCATTTGGGCACAAATGAAAACTTATGTGGCTAGAAAAAATACGTCATATAAAATACAAGCTGTACGTGAATTGTTATACGAGTCTTTACAACACATTACAGAACAAAACTGGAAAGATGCAGTAAGACATGTAATAGAAGAAGAACAAAAAATGTGGGATCTTGATAACATAATTGATGCGACCGTAGAGACACAACCGCTAATTATTAACCCTCAAGACTCGGATTCCGAAGTTGATCCTATTTATTTTGAATTTGAATAGTTTTCTAATCGTAATTATATAAGGTAAGTGATAGTAGTTGTAATCGTAAGGTATTAAAGGGGAAAGGCGCAAAACGTCGCCTGTCAAAATGTTCAATGTGTTTTAAATATATCGATTTTTTTTTCAAATCCTGAGAAAACTAAAAAGCCTTTTTGGAAAAATTTAAAGGCAGAATAAAATATTTATTAGAATAAATAAAAAGTTTCTTTTGCATGCAATATTTTCAATTAAAAATTATACTATATTCTCTCTTTTATTTTCACCCCTGTTGCATAACATAATAAAATAAACATTGTAGAAGTTTTCAGGGACTTTCTGTAATATACATCAGTATACACATATATAATACCCTCAGTAATAATGTAATCTTTCATTCTACTTTTAAATTTTTCAAAAATATTTATTAGTTTTCTCCGAATTCGAAAATAATGGATACATTTAAAACACATTTGGTGCCTTTCCCCTTAATTAAATAAATGTATCTTTTACAAATGGCAAAAAACTTTATTTTTGAATAAAATATTTTATTTTATTATAAGTTTTATTAAAACAAAAATACAGTTTAAAAAATATATTTATTTAGTTCAAATTAATGTTTCAATCATATACTCTACGACACTGGTCGGCCAAAATACGTTCCTAATCGGATTATAAGCTTGACCGCTGTATTGTATTCCGGCAGATACAAGGTGGGTTAGTCGAAAACATCTTAAATCGTCTGTTTCAGGTTGGTTTTTACTATTATATCGTATTACCTATCCTCTTTGTATTTCAGTTCTCTAATTAGGATTAAACTTGTAGTGAGCTATCAACAAATTGTGAACCGAGTATAGATGTAGAGTCTAGGTGGCTTTGCATGGTAGCAAATGACCTAATTTACGAACAGCACAGCTTTTTGCAGGGTATTATACAGATGTTCTCTTTTTCTATGAGGCTCATCTGAACATCACCAGTAGTTGATTTTACGATTTTATAGTACCCAATACACGTTCCATTCTCCATTGTCTCCTTATTTGTGTTTTATTCAAAAAATTAACGTGGAAACTAACGTTCTTATCGAAGATTTTTTTTTTAGCTTCCTTGAATTATTTCTTTCCCTTCTCTGTGATATTTTTCACTTTTATGACTTTAATAGTTTAAGGTTGATCTGCCCCCCAAAAGGCAAAGTACACATTCAAAAATTGAAATTTGAGAAGGTATATGTGATCACTAGAAGTATTTTAAAAAAAATTGAGTAAAATTCATGTTTTCGTTTTCGAAAAAAACTCAAAAAATTACTTTTTCTAGGTATAAAGCGTATAAACCAAACATATAATTTTGTTACTGTTCTTACGGCATAAAGATATAATCTTAAGAAATACTTGTGAAGTTTTTGGAAATTATTGAATATACAGTTTTGCCACAATAGAAAAAAATGATATGTTCTGGCTTATAATAAAGCTAAAGTAGATTAAAAAAAATGATGTAAACAAATTAGGTCGATTTTTGTGCTGATTTGTCTTACGTAATGTATTCTTTGTGTCATTTGAAATCCATTGACGTATATAACTCGAAGCTCGATTTTTTAAGATATTACAATAATTTAACATTGGGACAGTGGTATGCAAGATTTTTTTTTAGATTGTTTTAGTTTTATATTCTACACGAGGACCATGCACTGTAAATGTAAATGTAAATATAAATGTAAATAGATAAAAATACCAGGCCGGATTTACTTAAGAAGAATCAACAATTGACCAGATTCATTCAATAAGACAGATCCTCGAAAAAACGTTAGAATTTAACATTGAAACCCATCACCTATTCCTTGACCTCAAGGCCGCATTCAACAGTGTCAAGTAAACAGTACTATCTCAATCAATATGTGAGTTTGGTATACAAGAAAAACTTATCCGATTAACGAGAATAACAATGTCTCACTTAAAAGCCAGCGTTAGGATATAGGAAAATTCTCGATCCTTTGAGATTAAAGATGGACTCAGACAAAGAGATTGGCACATATTTAACATTGCCTTGGAAAAGGTAGTCCGAGGCATACGAATTAGAGACGGCGGTATTATTTACAATAGATCGATACAAATCTTGGCATACGTTGATGACATTGCCATAATAGAGCAAGCTGACTTACTTGGCCTCGATCGTGTAGACATTAGCAATATTTTTAGTGAACTTCTGTTGAATTCAGAGGTGTTGCTTTACCCTCGGATCGATGTCGAATCCAGATCTTTCTGTGCTTATGTAGTTAATCATAGATCGTATGTCTCTGACCTGCTATTAACTCGTTTATGTTTGTATATTCTTATTGCTGACTTCTTTCAATCTTGATAACCAGAACCTGATACATTCTATTGATGTGTTTTTTAATTTTTCTCTTTTTGCGAGCCGTTCCTTTCATGACTATTGATTCATTTTTTCATTGCACGCTCTGCTGATTATACCAGGCGTGTTTGCATATCTGGATTATGTCAGTCTCTGTTTTTATTGCATGATTCATGTTCACTTATTTGAACACTCAGCGGTCTTAAAGTTTGTACTACTACTATCGGTTTACAGCGTTCTCCGACGCCTTCCGACTCCTAACTGCCATTCTCTATTCAGCCGTAGGCCTGGAGGGATTTCTCTTTCCTCTAGTTCTTTTTCAATTCCCTCTCTCCAGCTTCTTCTCGGCCTTCTTCTTTTCCTTCTCCCTTGTGGTGTCCACGTCAAAATCTGTTTTGGAATCCTGTCATCTGGCATTCTCTGTACATGGCCGTACCATATTAACTGTTTTGTTTTTATGTCATTGTGTTGTAACTATCGTATGCTTGACTCCCATCATTTCTCCTATTCTCTCATTTGGTATCCGATCTCTTCTTGATTTTCCTGCTGCTCTTCTCCAGAAGTCCATTTCTGTTGCTAGTAATAGTTTCTCTGTTCTTTGTTTCATTGGCCAAACTTCATTGCCATATGTGGTTACACTTTTAAGTATGGTGTTGTATATGAGTTGTTTGTTCGCTTTAGATATTGTTTGGTCCCACAGAATCCCGTTCATCATGGATATGGCTTTTCTACCCTGTATGTTTCTGTCTTTTATAGCAGCATCGAGTGTTCCATCTTGAGTTATCTTCATACCCAAGTACTTGTATTCATCACAGTTTCTAATTTCTACCCCATCGTCTAATATAATGGATTGTTTTGTCCCTCCAATACACATGGCTTCAGTTTTCTTAATGTTGACTTCGAGACTTCATTTGTTATATTCTTCTATTAGCTTTCGAGTCATGTAACTCAAGTCGTCTGGGCAATCAGTATTTGGTCATCAGCGAAACATAAGGTGTACTGTGTAGTCTCGTCATTGAGAGGGATTCCCATGCCATTACATTTTCTTTTCCACAGCTTGAGTGCTTGTTCCAGATAAATTTTGAAAAGAGTAGGCGAAATACAGCAACCCTGCTTTAGTCCTTTCGTGACCTTAAATCCTTCCCATATCCTTGATCCAGTTTTAATTTTTGCAGTCGTTCCATTATACAGACTTTGATAAGACCATGCTTTGCTGTAGGGTTGACCATAGTTTACTTAGGGGTACACTGTCATATGGTTGTTGTAAGTTTACGTACACCAGGTGAACTTCTTTATTGACGGCTGTTTTTTTCTCAATAACTTGCGTAATAGAGTACAGGTGGTCTACTGTGGATCGTCCAGCTCTAAAACCAGCTTGCTCCTTTGCTTCGTAATCGCTATAGTCATTTTCTATTTTGTTCTTAATAAGTTTCCCATACATCCTACTTATTGTGCTGTTTACCGCAATTCCTATGTAATTTTCACACTGATCCTTGCTGCCTTTTTTGTGGATAGTTGACATGATAGATAATTTCCATTCTTTTGGTAATTGGGCCCCATTCAAGCAGTCTTGAAAGAGTTTTCTTAACTGTTCCTGGAGTTTGTCTGGACCGGCTTTTACTAATTCTGCAGGGATGTCACCAGGACCAGGGGATTTTCCATTTTTCAGGGATTTGGTTATTTCTGCCATCTCTGATTTACTTATTTGTAATGGTGATGAATTTATACGTATACCTATCGTGTTGTCTTCCATGTTAGCAAATTCTGGTCTTTGTTCTGTTAGTAATTTTTTGAAATATTCTTCCCATTTTTGTGTTGTTATTGATGATATAACGTCTTTTTTCTTATTTCTCATACTTTTAATCAATCTACAACTCTCTGTGCTTCTTCTCCCTCCTATGTAGGTGTTGATCTTTTGGCAGTTCTGTTCCCATGATTCGTTCTTTTTTTGAGTTATCTTTTTTCTTACTTTGGCTTGTGCAGCTTTGTAAATTGTTTTCTGTTTTTGTTGTTAAGAATGTTTGGTATTTCCGACCTTAAAGTTTGCCCCAGATAAAAATTGTTGCATCCATGTATTTTATAAATGCATATCTTTGATCTCCCCTGTGTGTTCTGAGGTTTAGATTTTTAAAGAATAAATCTCAGTGCGTTGTTTGTTTTAAATGATTTTTGTAGTTTTTTTTTTCTATTGATATATCGATACATTTTTTGCAAAGTAACGTAGGTCACCAAACACGATTTGTAGAAAAAACAATTTTTTAATTCAACCTGGGTAAACTTATTTAAATTATGACTGAAAAAACTTGCCATAAAAAAGGTTTAAAGTAATTCTAGGCTTACTACACTTTGGCAGTACCTTTTTAACAATAATAGTGTTAGTTTAATTGAAAAACATGATTTTCGCCAAAAATGTCACTTACGTTACTTTGCCAAAAATGTGTCGATATATTAAATAAAGAAATTGCTAGATATCTAGATTATTAGTCCCCAGAAAAACTTGTTTCCCGGAGTATTTTTTTTATAACATTCTTAGAATTTTCGCATTTTTTTTAGATTTCTTATAACTTGTTTATTTTTTTTAAGAACGCAGCCCTACCATTCTAGAAAGACATGTGGATGTTGAAACATTAACGGATACGTTTGAAGACATTTCTTTTATTCATAGACCAATTCTTCGCAAGAATTTGACAAGAGATGACGACGCTTCGTCATTCTGCTTATATGACAGTAAGAAACATGTTTCTTTTCCCTCCGATGATGAGATGTTGGTTAGTTTTCGTGATACAAATGATTTCGACGTATGTCAAACTAGTAAGTATACGTATACATGTCATCAGGGGGCTTTATTAGATAATTAGGTTGAAAGTTTAGATAACACGCTAAACAATGATTTGATTTGCACCGCGCGTTTGTTCTAATAGTGTCTAATAAATCTCATGAGTCTTATTTAACATGAGCATCGAGCATTCAAGAGAACCGCAGGAAATAGAAACACAAGGATCACTCAATATAGATACCGCCCTAAACTTCTACCCAACCTGAAAATCCCCCAGCGGTTAAAACCTAACAACTGAGCTACGGTCGCCATTACGGTTCGTTTCACTTACACTTTTATTTACTACAGACTAGACCAAATTTCCATAACCATAACAGGTTCTTTCTATAAATATTGAATAGTATTCGAGATAATTCAGGTTTACACTAGCAAAGATTTTACTTACAATTAAAATGTAATATCCACACTGATGAAAAAAAGGTGGTTTTGCCATAACAAATATAAATGCTAAATTTGCTGTTCTAGTACGTCGCAATTGGCGTTGCAAGATTCCAAAATGTTTGGTGCTGACAGGCGGTAATCCCTTATTGAATTTGCGTGACCGAATATGATGGATTCTAGCTGTCTTTATACTGTAACTTTTTCTAGAAAATTTGTCGGTCTGGAATTAATTAAATACTAAATACGGAACTTATTGTGATTTAAACGTTTTGGTGAATTCCCATTTTACAATTTTTGGTGAAATCATTTTTGGTGAATTAACACTTTATAACTTAGACTACATCTTACACTATTGTGCCACTCCTCTACCGCAGCTGTCTTCAGCTCTTCAAAGGATGCAGGGGCTGGTACTCTTGCTCTTACTCGTCTTTTGAGGTTGTCACAGATATGCTCAATTGGGTTAAGATCGGGACTGTGTGCTGGCCATGGTAGAACTTGAATCCCGACCTCATTAAGGTACTCACGGGTAGATCTTGCTGTATGGCAACATGTATTGTCACGTTGTCGTCCATCTGGACCTTTTAGGGCTATTCTGCTCTCACCTGAGAACAGCAAAATGAAGTCTAGGCCTATGCTGTTGTGGAGTAGTTGTAGTGCGCGAGCTGGACAAAAAGCTCCCATGTTTATTTCTGACAGTCTTCTTTTAATCGTTTGTCTACTCACACTAACGTTTCTCACCTCAAGAAGAGACCTACGAGCTTCAGGAGCGGTGTTAAAGCGATTTCTCAATACTTTAGTGATAATGAAGCGGTCATCTCGAACTGAATAGTTTGCATCGTTTTTTTGCATCTGAAACTTGAACCGGTGCATCGTTTTCGGCCATGACCTGCCCTACGGTTGCACGATCCTGTCTCCCGAAATCGTCTGATGGCATTTTGTACCGTAGTTCTGGGCACATCGAGTATACCAGCGATGTGACGTTGACTGTAATCAGCATCAACTAAAGCCACTGCCCTAGCAGCATCAGTTGGAACGAGTGGCATTTTTAAAACTCATAAACAATAAATAAGCACTAAAATTTCAACTTAAACAATATTGGCTCAAAATCATTTAAAATTACAATTTTAATTGTTAATTTTAATTACAAATTTAATTTAATTACAAATTGTTCAAGAATTGTTATTAACACGGAAACAGATTTGCAACAATGTCGTACAACGACTATATGTCAAAAATCCTTCGATGACACAAATTTAGGAAACAAACTCTCACGGGTGATGTAAACAAAACAGTAATAAAGGTGGTGGGATTAATTTTGCTGGTGAGTTAAATCGTCTGCATTGATGAAAAACATAGCTAGTTGTTAAACTACCTAACTTTTGTATTATCCAACATAAGCGAATGAATCAAAAAACAAAATGTTGAGAAAATATGACACTATAGTTAGGTTTTAATTTCAATATTTTATAAATCCTAGAATATTCCACAGGGTGATGGAACCTTTAAGAAAAAACACAGTTTAATTCGTACACCCGGTATACAATAAAAATTTACCTGTTTACCAACCTTATTATTATAACGATATTGTCAAGGAATAAGGCTAAAACATAATTAAAAAATTACTAAAATCGGACAACAGGTTTAGGAGATATAAGACATCAAAAATTACCCATTTTTAAAGTGGCTGGTTAATTTTGGCCCAGAGTGTACCCATCAGTGTACCTGGAAAATATCGAACTTAGTAGTGAAGTTCGTTTCGGTTCGTAAATGCCCCTTTGTCCGCCGGTTAATAAATGTTGAAGTTGTGGAGTAAAAATGATGATTTATTGACAGCAACTCGTAATTACACAATATGGTGGTCGTTCGGTAACTACTCAATGTTGACTGTGTTCATTTGAACTCAAATCCCCAATTTATAATCTCACACATAATAGATACATAAGCACCTTAGGTCATTGCTTCGTTCATATCACACTACCTAACTTTTGCTTATAATACAATTTAATCTACGCCTTAATTGCGACACTTAGGAAGTTCAATTAGAATATATTATTATTCGGCAATTTATTTAGTTGTAGGTAAACGAACTAATTATTAAATTGTTATACGATATGGTTTTGCAATATATATAATGCAAACTTATACACGGTGAAACTATAAAAGATTAAGAAGTTAAGAATAATGTGAGATTACAAATTAAGGGGTTAATTTGTGATTGAACAGTACCCCATTTGGCCCTTAATGGTTACATTACCCATATATATATATATATATATATATATATATATATTATATATATATTATATATATATATATATATATATAAGGATCACTCAGACGAGTGGTGGGTTCTTATATCGGTCTCTAGGTGGAGAAATAAAAGACAAAGTTGATAGGCTACTTTATCTATTTTGAAGACGTTTCGCTTTCGAGTTTTGAAAGCATCATCAGTTCATCTAAAAAATTATTACAATATGAGAACCACACAATCATGGAAACGATGTTAATTGTTACCTTAAAAGATATGTAGCAGTCAATGTTATTAACAAACATGTGAATGAAACTAAGTAAATGGACATAATACGCTGATCTTGTATAAACAGTTAAGCAACTAACAACATATATGAACTTGTAAAAAATTAGCACAGCAAATGACCATGTGGTCTAAAGTAAATTCTATGTTATTTTATGTTAATAAGTGAGTAAGAACCAAGAAAATCATAAATAACTTCCAAACTATTTAATGGATATTAAGCTTTGATTTTAACTTTAGGTAGCATTATAAGTGATATTAATAAAATCTTAAAAAATAGTAAATATGAAGTTACCGATCAAAGCCCTATGAATGTCGCCGGGAAAATGGCGTTAGATGAAACAGGAACGAACTAAACCGCAAAAAGACAGCCAACCTTGAGGTCAAAATTACTTTTGACAGAACAACAAGGTGTAAATACCAACCCAAATTTTGGGCGGTTAATTTAAGTTTAACTGAGTTTGGATGAATACCCGGTTGCAAAGGACAACACAGTGAAAAAAGTTGGTAGTGTAAACACAACTCCCCTCACTAATCAGCCCAAATTTACAAACAGGAGATTTTCATTCAACCTCATAAGTATGTAATGACGTTAATCATTATGGCTAGTTAAACAGCCAAGGAGGTTAACGATTTTATAATTTCCAAACAGCCCAAGGTTCAATATACTTGGAGCTGTGATTTGCAAAGGATTCTATGAATCAATTACAATATTTGTATTATTTTAATATAAAATTTTGAAACACTAATTCAAGTAATTAGCGTATTGAAATGCAATGTGGGTTGCATATGTAATAGTAATTTTAAGTAAAGATATTAAGTTATTTTATTGATATATTTATTTATTTTATTTCTATTTATGTATATAAATTGTTTTATGAAAAATGGGAAGAAGTTCAACTAGTACACCTAATATGATATTAACGTAGTGAAAAGATTAAGTAGCCTAATTCTGCAAAATTAAGCATGATATATTTGGCTCAAGTTACTTATGTCAGTTCTCTTATTCAATGCATTAGGGTGTTTTAATATTGAACACATTTTCAAAAAATGTCTTTTAGCTAGATTGCGTTCAGTGGCAAGGATCTTAACTTCATTTAAAATCCACTTCATGTTTAGTATTTATCGCATGTTGTGCTAGGGCACAAGTGTGTTTTCGATAAATTAATGTCGCTACGATGTGAAGTGAGACGACCTTTTAATGATCTACCAGATTGTCCAATGTAACATAAATCGCAATTAGCGCATGGAATTTTATAAATTGTGTTAACTTGTTCCAAAGTGGACAAGGTGTGTTTTAGTTTTAGAGAACAAATTTCTAACAGTTTTTGCATTCTTAACAGCAATTTTAACAGGTATATTATTTTGTTTATACAATTTAGTAAGTTTCTCAGTAACTTGAGGGAAATAAGGTAAGGAAGAGTAATGTGTGATAGTATTCTCAAGAACGGTATTATGCAGAACAGTGCTATTTATAGAATTATTAGAGATGTTTCTAAGTTGGTCACCATCGGGTATGTCATAAATTGAGGATGCATAACTATGCGAATAAAGGTATTTATTGATGATAGAGGAAGGATATGAATTCTCTATTAGAATATTTCTCAATAACTTAAAGGATTCCCTTCGATTAATTGATGTGTCAATTTATTTAATCTAAAGCTCAAAGCTTTTATAAGGTTTAGTTTGTATTTCATGGGATGACAGGAATGGTAGTTAAGGAACCTATTAGAGGCCATTGATTTTCTATACCAACTTGTGGTTAGGGTGTTATCTCCCATTCTGATGACACGCATGTCAAGGAAAGGTATACTATTGGTGGTAGTGTCCTCAAGTTCAACAGTGAACTGTAAATGAGGATCAAACTCATTAAAGTGGGATAGGGTACCCTGAACCTTGTCAGGTGGTAGGGCTAGTAATAAATCATCCACATACCTTTTAATAAAAGGGATTTGAAAATCCAAAAGACCCAAACGGTCAGAAACCAAATCATCCAATACAAAGTTAACTAGGATGGGAGAGATTGAGGAACCCATAGGTGTACCAAACGTTTGAAGGTAAAATTTGTCATCAAAGACCAAAAAAATTAGTGTCAAACACAAGTTGCAACAGTTCTGCAAATATATCCCAAGACACCGGGCAGTTAGGTTTAATAGAATTCCAATGGTTTTTTAAGGAAGTAATTACACTGGACAGAGGTAAGTTAGTGAAAAGAGATACCACATCAAAACTTACTAAAATGTACCCTTGAGGTAGTTGAAAATTGTTAATAAATTCACTAAAGTTAAAAGAATCAACAATGTTGAAATCATTGTTGTAATTATATGATTTAGACAAGATGTCTGTTAGAAATTTAGCTATTTTTATATTAGGTGAATTAATAGATGACACAATAGGTCTCATGCTCAACGTAGGTTTATGTATTTTTGGTAAACAATAGAATCTAATCATATTTACTATTTTTTAAGATTTTATTAATATCACTTATAATGCTACCTAAAGTTAAAATCAAAGCTTAATATCCATTAAATAGTTGGAAGTTATTTATGATTTTCTTGGTTCTTACTCACTTATTAACATAAAATAACATAGAATTTACTTTAGACCACATGGTCATTTGCTGTGCTAATTTTTTACAAGTTCATATATGTTGTTAGTTGCTTAACTGTTTATACAAGATCAGCGTATTATGTCCATTTACTTAGTTTCATTCACATGTTTGTTAATAACATTGACTGCTACATATCTTTTTAAGGTAACAATTAACATCGTTTCCATGATTGTGTGGTTCTCATATTGTAATAATTTCTTAGATGAACTGATGATGCTTTCAAAACTCGAAAGCGAAACGTCTTCAAAATAGATAAAGTAGCCTATCAACTTTGTCTTTTATTTCTCCACCTAGAGACCGATATAAGAACCCACCACTCGTCTGAGTGATCCTTATATATATATATATATTGGATTGACGGTCGTACTCCTTTTTCTGATATATAATATATATATATATATATATATATATATATATATATATATATATATATATATACACTAGACGTTTATGAATTTTATTAATAAAATTATATGTATTTTTAGCTGAAGAAATGTCTGCCGAAGAAATTTCACGGTTATATCAGGAATCGTGTATCAAGCACAAAACAATTGAATTAGACACCATACGCCATCAAATAATGGTACGTGCCTTTGTGTTATGTGTGCATTTATGAAATTACGAGACTTATTTATTTTTCAGGAAATCAAACACAACTTAAATCATTCAGCCGTACTCAAACTAAGTTCAGTCAATATAACATCTGAAGTAAATGACACTTTAGAAGATTTATTCAGGGTTACCAATTTCAATAGTCTCACTCTCGTTGACTGTAAATTTTCCGCAGAAACTATGAATGAATTTTTGAATATGCTAGAGTATTATGATTCTGTGTGTCACCTGGAGTTGGAGATGAATTTCGAAGACGAAGATTTATGGAAATGTTTCTGTTCTGCGTGTAGTAACATTTCTGTTTTGGAATCTTTGTCTTTGAAAAAGATGACTATAAATGAGTCTTATATGAGATTTCTCCTCAGGGCTGTTAAAACCAACAACCACATTACCACCCTAAAGTTTGATGGTTGTGTGCTAGCCAAATTGCCTAGTTTTTATTTAGGTATGTATACTCACTTTTTTAACCATGCGATTTTTAACCATTTTTAAATAACTCATTTATAAGAAATTAAACTTTATTTAAATTTTATTACACTTAGTATACAGGGTGTTTCAAAAAGGTATGTCATAAATTAAATCACGCATTCCGGGGACAAAAATAAATTGATTAAATCAAACTTACCTTAGTACAAAAGTGTACACAAAAAAAGTTACAGCCCTTTGAAGTTAGTACAAAGGGTTGTAACATTAGTTAGTAAATAGTAAATAAATATGAACAATAAATGTTTAAAATGACCCCCATTTTCTTCAATACACATTCGGTATAGTTTTAATAAGGAAAGCCGAATGCGCTGACGTAATTGATTTGCAGCGTGAATTATTCTAACCCTCAATTGTTGTTCGTCCTCTATTGTTACAGAATACACTCTCTTTCATAAACCCCCAAAAGCAAAAGTCCATGGGGTTAAGATCTGGACTTCTGGGTGGCCAAGAAATAGGTGCGTCACGACCCCTTCCAATCCACCGACCAGGATACTGCCTGCAAAGGTATTACCGGACTTCATTACTGTAATGCGGTGGAGCGCCATCTTGTAGAAACTACATATTTTGCCTTATTGCAATATTCACTTCTTCCAAATACTCTTGTAAATCGTTTGCCAAGAACTTCAAATAATTATCACCATTTAAATTGTTGGGAAGAAATACTGGACCTATTGGATTCTTATTCACAATTCCTGCCCAAACATTAACTTTGAAAGTCCTTTGGTGATGAGTCGTTTTTTGGCGTAAGGATTTTCGTCGGCCCAAATGTGCTCGTTATGACGATTTGTTATTCCATTTCTACTGAAGGTAGGCTCGTCGGTAAATAAAATATTTCTAATAAAATTAACATTTCGGGTGTTTTCCATTAACAACCAATCGCAAAATCCAATCCTTTTAGGATAATCTTCAACCAATAACTCTTGAACCGTTGTTAAGTGATAGGGTTTAAGCAGCTGATCCTTCAAACACCTCCAGACCCTTACGTGAGGAACATTTAGTTGAGCAGCTATTACCCTTGTACTTATTCCAGGGGCTTCTTCAATGCTTTCTAAAATTTCTTCATCAGCTGCATCCATTATTGGACGACCACTATTGCCAGCAACTTGCGGCTGGAATGTACCCGTTTCCCGTAAACGACGATCAATGGTCAAAAATAATCGTCTATCGGGTGTATTTCGATTGCGGTATTTTACTGCATAACGCCTTGCGGCTGTTGCACTATTTCCTTGACATTCATCTACGATATTCCCGATAGTTTATTGAAATCATAATTTAATCTGATCCAACTTACCCAAAGTTAAATGCATATCTGCCATTTCCTGAAATGTGTAGGCCATTGTAATATCAAAATTTTTAATATTAATCTTATTCACACAATAAATGGACGTAGTTAAGCAGAAAACGTCCAACCCAAAAAAAGTGATTGTTGGGAAATTGAGTTTAAAAGATTTTAGTGTGCCCTAGCTAAACTATGCATAATTTATTCGCCTGGCAATGATTTTAAGATAATGATATTCATCTCGTAGGCACCTCGTTTGTAATTTCTTTTAAATGTAAGTTTCAATGAAGTTATTTTGAAAATTTTAGGTTGGACGTTTTTAACAAAAAACAAAAATCCGAAAAAAATTTCGATAAAACATACTTATGTGGGTTGGAATCTTTCAGATAAATAAATAATGTCATATTTTTATAAAAATTTTAATGATCCAAAGAAACAAAATTACAATGATTTTCTTATGTAAATGTAAATTTAAAAAAGTTTTAATTATTGTGGGTATCTACCTCAAAATCTAGAACTGGAACATTAAATCCATCAACGTCTTCGACTACATTAGCACTTGTAAAATTTTCATAAAACGGTTTAGCGTCTGAAGGAATTAGATGTAAATAGCTTTTAATATCGTTAATTTTATCCTCTGACAGGGGTTTACCATTGGGCCAGAGTTGCATAAGCAGCGCCGAAAAGCTCTCTGTATTTAATCGTCCTCGTCGCTCAATATCCAAACATACACTTTCATCGCCAAAATAACTAGGTTTCATAAAGATGTGGTAAGGATTTTCTTTTGTTAATATAATTTGTTTTGTCTCCAACCAATTTATTTTTTCTTTATTGGTGCCAACTTTTCTGTTTATTGTGGCCTTCTCGAGCTGGTGGGTACTCAAAAACCATTCCTTTTTCATTTGTGCAGCTGTTATTGGAGACTTTTTACGACATGAATTTATTATATTTATATAGTCTAAAGGTGTATATATTCGTTCTTGACGTTTGAGTTGACATTCTATATCCCCAAAATCTTTATCATTTGGTAGAAAACTATGGCCGGAAATCAGGAATTTAAATGTTATAGTTTTTATATTATGGCTGGTTTGAAGAAGACTGGCCATGAGGAGTGTTATTTTAATATTACGGTTCTGGCCTCCACAAGAATCAGACCACAATATAAGATGTTCAACAGTACTTTCTATGTTTTCTAAATATTTTACAATACAGGAACCAACCTCCTGAGCTCCTCTTCCAGCAGTTCCTTCAAGCCATACATAGGAATAACTCTTATTACGTTTGCCTGAAAATACACCGAGATTATACAAGCAAACTTGCCTCTTATAATATATTACATTGGTTGGAATTTTGGGTAAAGGTAGAGTTTTTTGAAGATCGTATGTTAAACACTCTACATTATCCTCATCTTTAGCTCGTTTTAAATCTGCCTTTAATGTTTCTCGTGATTTTTGGGCCAAATCCTGATGAGTGTCGAGTTCAATTTGTAAAAGTTGCTTTTTATGATCATCCGTTTCATTTTGTAGTTTTATTTTAAATGAATCACATACCTGGCATGTGTCCTTCTTGGGAACATTAAATCTCAAATTAAATTTTTCGTAAAAAATCCTCTTATAAATACCAAATTTCACAGGGTTTTGAACTTCAGATTTGTATAGATCATAAATCTTTAATAATGAGAGATGTGCCGGTAAAAATAATGCAGACGTGTTTTCACGACAGTAGTGCGATATGTACTTAGGCAGTTTATTGATCTGGTTGATTATTTCCTGAATTTTATTTTCAGGGACTTTGTTTAAACCACCTTGTTTTCTACCTCTTTGATCAAGAATTGGAGCACGATTGTTTACCTTTCTCAGAGCTGTTGTTACTCTTGACGGAGTTATTCTAAGACTATTGATAAACATTTGCCTATAAGTAAGGAATATTGTCTGGAATACAGACGTCTTTCAGTGTTTCTTCCATACATTCTTTTTTTCGGCATTTCGTGGATATTATTGGCAATAAAGATAGTTTGGGCATTATAAGACCCAAGACTCCAAAAACGATCAAATTCTTGTTTTCGTGACTCTGTAGAAATCAACTCAGAACATTTCATCGGGCAGTTACAATTGTAGTCATATTGAAATTCTTTAGCAGCTTTCAATTTTCCTTTGTAGTCAATGTAAGATTCATTTTTGTTCCTATTAATCTTTGATGTTGCTCGCGTCATTGCAAATTTCTTTTTTCTACCCTTCTTTGGACGACCTGATGTACTGGCTAAAAATGGATTATCATCACAACTTTCATTGTTATCGGAACTCTCTTCATGTGACGATGGTATAAAACATATCAGAGGAACCGCTACTAAAGACATCACTTATTGACATATTCTGTAAGAATAAAAAGGTAGGTATTATTAGATAATATTTTAAATAAAATTTCAAAAAATTATAGAAAGCGTCTATTTTAATTAAAGAAGTTAACTTTTAATCAATTACCAGGTACCAAAAAATAAAACAAATTCAATTCATTCAAATTAATCTTTTTCATAAAGTTTACTATAGGTACTCATCGAAAAATAATTTTCATATGCTTTACATTATTGTATAATTACTTTAATCAATAATAATTGATGATCATAATAATAGGTATCAATTTAACATTGGTATAATAAGATTAATACATATGTGTTTACAAAATTGTGTGTACCTAAGGAAGTTGTATTTTTTCTTTTAGATTGTAACAATAGGTACATCAAAGTTTAGTTTTCATTAAATAGAAATAATTATAGCGAATAGCATTATAAAGCATTTTACTAAACAGTATAGGTACAAAGATTTAATACTTACATCATAATCATCAACAGAATCTATGGTAGAAGCTGATTCAAAACATCCAGTTTTCTCGTTTAAAAACCATTTCACGAATACGACTATTGGATGACGATGGTTCGCTGTGACGGTAGAATTCTGTCACATTGGTATCATCCATATTCTACAATATATTTAAATTATGTAATGATGTATAAAATGCATTTATTTTAAAAATTTAGTAAACAACATAAACTTTAGAAGCCGTGTCTTATAAACTGATTATTTTTTTCGTGATTTTCGGCCAGATTAAAGAAATACCACAAAACTCTATTTTCTTCTATTTTCTTTATTTTTTTTTAAGATTTAGTAACAAAATAAATTGAAACGTCGTAAAAAAAAAAGAGAGTTTTGTGTTATTTCTTCAATCTGGCCGAAAACCACGAAAAATAATCAGTAAACAACATATATGTTATTTTTTAATAAAAAATTTCCGACTTACCTCAACATTGGTAATATTTGAATCAAATTCCACGCTAGACATTACACTATTTGTTTGGTTTTCCATATAGTTTTGCTAGCTCACACATGTATTTGCTTCTTTTCGACATAATTATTATTAAATAAGTATTTTTAAACCCGAACAGTCAGAAAAATCAGACACAACTGAATAAAAAGAAATGTTTATCAATACATAGGCACATTTACTTAAAACTAAAGGAAAGTGATTACTATGCTTAAGATGAGTACCTATAATAAATTAATTTTTATCGACCAAGTTCCAGGGTTTATACGCACAAGGCACGTTTTAAACATTAATAGGGCACATTCCCGTAATAAAATTTTATTATCGACCGAAATTGAAGATTCAAACTACTTTTAACATATTAATGAAATAGTAAACGTAAAATGATACCAAGTGGTTTGGACGATTTCTGATTATACTCTTATTTTTAACAAGTATACCGAAATTTATAAGTAGAAAACATCCAATTCACTTGGATGTTTTTAACACAAAAAAATGCACAGTAGTTTTGTTATCGCATGGAGCGTTAAAGTGATCCAACCCACTTAGCCTGTTTTAACCACTCTTTTAACACGATTACTTAGATCGACATACATTTTTTAGAAAAAATTCAACCCACTTGGATTTTTTATTATCAATGAAAATCTCAGTTAACCTAGTTTGTGGGTTAGAACTTTGACGATTATTAAAAGAGTATGTAATGTTTTCACTTGGACGGTTTCTGCATATTATAAAGCAAGAAATTATATGCTCGCTGGTGTAAAGAACTCATTTTTAACAATTTGTGGGTTGGACGTTTTCTGCTTAACTACGTCCAAATGATACTGAATAATGAACTGCTTGTAATTATTGTATCCGTAGAAACTAATTGTAATTTTATGGCCAACTAGGAAAAAACTAGTTTTTCGAAAAAGTGATGAGACAAAAAAGTTTTAAAAATAATGTGTTAAACTAATGATGCCACAAAATTCATTCAAAAGTTTCGGGGGATTTAGGGCTGTACACCCCCTTAAAATTTTTCTGTGCGCTTAGATTTTGTTTTTTATTTTGTATGAAAAATGCTTTCAGAACAAGAAAGTACCGTGTCCATTTTTAGTACAAAATGTCTAGCCGTTTCGGCACATCAAATTGTTTTGAATTTGATGTGAAATTTGAAGTTTTCGTCTTTCGTCTACAAGATTGAGAGTCTCTTCAGTCATCCAATGTTTTTTTCCTAGCTGTTTTGTCTTTGGGATTAGTATTGTTGATGTCTTCAGTGATCCACTTCTTTGTGTATTCCCACGTTTTGTCAGGGTCTCCGGTAGTTACTGGTAGGTCAGTATTGTGTTTACTATGCTAAGATCCATATCGTTGGCAAATTGAAGAAGCCGTACATCAGCCATTACCACAGCCGTAAGGAAAAGATATCCCACAGATATCTATCTTCTCCTTAATCAGTACATTTTCTAATATATACAATATACCTGGCTGTAGCAGCCTCCTAACATTCCATGTTGCGATGCGGTGTCTTTTACGTAATTTTAAGTTTGATCTTCCAGTTTCCCATTTCGTAGATATGGCTCCGGTTGCTAGCTGGATTGCAGAACACAGAATTTTCTTGCTTAGTCGTCATTTTATAACGCTCTCTGGGAAGATAATCAGGTGGTTTCCCGTTGCCTGCCTGATCGCAGTCTCACAGCCGGTTGAACTAAGATGTAGTTGTCGCCTGTGAGTAATTTACACTAGACCTGCATGGATTATACAGCTCCAGTGCAATAATGACATATCTGCTGCACTATGTCATGCCCTCAGTTGATCCGCGGGTACTTATTTGGTTGGACCTTATTCACACCTATCCTGCATATCTACAGAAACGTTCCTTATCAGTCATTGGGTCTCGCCGTGTCGGGGTTGAGGACTTCCCCGCCCAGTCCGTCTTCCGTGAAGTGCTGAAAAGCCCCTACTCAGTTCAGAGCTCTTCTCCCACGCAAGCTAGAAACCAGCACGTCTTCTATTGGTATTTTTATCGAATTCTTCTCAGGCAAACATATTAGTAAGACAACACAACAAAGGTGTAACTTTACTCGCTTGAGGGTAGCCTCCAAGCTTTGAACACACCAGAAATGCTACCAACAGATATAGTAGAGGCACTCAGGAATGAAAAGATGTTAATGGTTTATAATTTAACATTGAAGGTAGAAATAAAGAAAATGAGTAATATATTTTCATTAATATTTGTTAGGCTTGAGCAAACATCTGTGGAAGTGGGAAGTTTAGTTTTTGGTAATTCAGCGTACAAGTCGAAATGTGGGTTTTGATTTAAGCGGCATTCTAAGGGTGCGTTCATAACGGAGACCATGGCATCGTATCCTCGCCTAGAGCATAGCACTGACGGTGAACGCTCGCATTTAAAATATTGCATTTATTTTACCGAAAATTGTTTTTTTTTTTTTTTTTATTTTTTGTGATTCGGTTTTGGAGCCATAAAAGATGATGGCTTTAGTGATGAGCCATCAGTAAAGAATTTTTTCTATGAGGAAGCGTTAATAAAACGTTCATTTTTTATGCCTTCATTAAGAATTATTATGGGTTTAAGTTACAGTTCCAGTATTTATTCATGACAAGGAAGCAGTTTACGCAGTACAGGTTCTGCAAATAAGGTTTAAATTTATCTTTCTGCAAATAAGAGTTGTTATCGGTAAGGTTATTCCTTATTTTTCCAGTATGTATTGCCTATCACAAAGTGCTTTTAATAATAAGAAAAATATATTTCATGAATTTTGTTGTGAGCCATTCTCTTAAGTATTTTAAAGGAAGTTCTCCAGACTCTGAAAATAAAGCTTTGCTTTGGTAATCCGGATAATTTCCGTCCATAATTCAAATAACTTAGGATAAGTGCTCCATGGATCATTTTTAATATTTTTGAGTCACAGCCCAACTATGCACACTCCGCACAAAGCATGTATTACATTGAGTGCTTTGCCTGTTTTGACTTCCAGCTGGTTAATGTGTTCCTTCCGTTTTAGGTTCTTCTAAGAAACCATTCCTAGGTATTTAATATTATCTATCCACTATATAGGTTTTCTCTTGCAAGAAACATTGTGATTGTGAATAAATGCCTATCCGGTTTTCCTTTGCGATTAAACTTTATAATTTGTTGTAAGTTTAAGTTAAAGTTTTCGCAGTACTTCAAATGGGCTGGAATCATATATATATATATATATATATATATATAATATATATATATATATATATATATTATATTCATTATTAATCTTTTTAGAAACCGGCTTGAGGAACCCTCTACTTAATTATTACTATTAAGTATGTAGGTATGTGACAGGATAGGGTTATAAACAAAGTATTGTCAGTAATAGCCTTTTATATAAACATCTTAAGTTTTCTGCAGAAAATATATGAAATATCATAAATTTATATACGGTGTATAAAAATCATTGAAGTGATAACCTCAAACTAAAATTAAATATGACAACAGCGCTTTGGTGCTGTCCTTTGTTCATAAATTAACCTCAAAAAGCTCTACTAGTTTAAAAGGATATGTAATACATTAAAAATATAATTTTCAATTGAAATCTATTATTCGGGTAAAAATTATTGAGCATTTAATACTATATAAACAAGTGCCAAATAGCCATATTTTAAGAAATTACTATCGAAAACGCTGAAATTGTGTTTCTGGACTGGATTTATTGTATATGTATACTTTATATTTCTCGAAAATTTCGGTGAAAACTACATATAAGTAGAGTGAAAGATGTCGATTTATAACATGAGTACATTTGTTTTAATTCTTCATTTATTATTTTTAGTGGAAAATTTAATGATCAATCGAACAATTCAAGAATTGTACCTGCCGTCTACTGGTCTCTACACAAAAGAGGCTGACTGTCTTTCCCGTTTCTTATCTATCAACAGATTCTTAAAAGTTCTAGATATCAGTAATAATTTTATTGGAGATAGGGGCTGGAATCTCTATCCAAAGGACTTTGCACACAAAACCAACCAGACGTTGGAATTTCTGCTCTTAGTATTTACAATAACCAGCTTACAGAAAAAAGCGGACCAATTATAGGCAATATTATAGTAAGTACAAATTATATTACCATTTTTTGGTAATACATAATGTCGAGATATTCCATATTCTAAATATTATTCGCCTCTGGCTTAAACGAAAAGTTACAAAATTAATTTGTTGTTGCGGAAACTGCAAAATTGTTTATGTGTAGTACTACATGTCACCTACACTCCACATCTTTTATATAAAGTTGGGTTTTATGGTGCTTAACAACTCTCAGAATTTCAGATTGTATGTTTCAGATTATTTGATTAAAAATGTGTATGTTTTCTTGCGTTGTCTTTTGAACAAATGAGATACAAACATGAGAGGTATGGCCATCGTAGATAAGAATATAACAGGTCAATTCGGGTCATGTTTCTTAAAAAATTGTTTTTGAAAAAATTTTGAAACGCTTCCGTTTACATCTACAGCCATTTTTTTTATTTTGTGACTGAATATGTTATCCCAGCATATTTCTCATCCTCTTTTGCGAGCCATGGGTCCTACACATTCCTTCCTCTAAATACAATATGCAGCAAATGACTGGCAGCTCTTGGTAAGACGTTGCTTGGTGTTTTGGTCTTGAAATACATATCGGCATTTGTCGTTTTGGACCTGAGAGGGTTTGACAATATATTTCAGGTAATTTTTGGTTAGAATAACCTGATCCTGAATGGCTAGCAAGGATCCTTCTGTTTCAGGAATATCTTTGCTGAGCCAACTAATAGTTCGATACCGTATTGCCGACATAATGTCTGGGCTAATTTCGTTGGCATGTCGCCATACCCATTTTTTCATCCTTCAGAAAGGTGGTTTAAGCGGTGTTGTGTCATCGATTGCGCATATCGCGCGATGTGGAGTAGATGATTTAGCTGCATCCGAAAAAAACTTCATAAATTAGCAATCTGATCTTCTAATTGCTCACTTATATCCACTTATATCCATAAGTCGTCTTACTCCCCTAAATACCGTGGTAATGTTCCTTCAACTGCACTACGAGGATGTTTTTGTGCTTTCGTGAGACGTGTTCCTACTTTTCGTTGAAGATTTTCTATATATATTTGAGTCCACTTAATAATACTAAAGGAATAGCTAAACGCGAAACATGCGTAGGTATTCTGGGCCCTATACAAATTTTACTGTTAAGATGTAAACGAAGCAATTGTTTTATCCGTCGTATGAACTCTGAAATTAACTTAATTTTCATTTGTTTATGATCAATTTTCCGCGCGAGATATACTCCGAGATATTTATACACGTCATTTTCACTCATACCCTCGATGTTTTGGCCATTTTGCATTTCGAGTCCTCCGGGCTAAATCTTTCCTCTGACTATATTCAAAATACGGCACTGATCTAAACCGAAATGCATACTAATATCATTAGAGAAATTTTCTATAGTTTTTAGCATCTGATCTAGGTAGTTTCGAGTGGAAGCCATTAATTTCAAATTTCAAATTGTGCATATAAAACAGATACAAACATCGCCACTACAATATTTTCGTTTTTAATGCTAACACCTGAGTCACTGGGGTTGATTGCTAGACAGAATCACAATTGACTCAACACGGAGTCTCTTTGGAAGAAACCGCGGTTGATTGCGTTTCGATATTGTTTTCACCAAGTATTTGAAGGTGAATTTTAGTCTTCCAATCTTCCAATTCTTATATGCCTTAAAAAGGTCACTATGTTATCATCGAATTTATATATTCGTAATATGTCTATATTCCATTCATACGACCATCCATCCGGCACTTAGTCAAAGGCTTCCTTGTAGTCAATAAAAGCTGTAGAGGTTCCTTTTTTTGTGTATGCCTGGTTAGAGCGATAGAGTCGATAATCGATGATAAGTTCTTCTTTGCAACTCATGAAACCCTCAACGCATTTTTGCTATTATCAAAAAGCGCATTGTCGCATCCTTGGTTGATACTAACTGTGTACCTCCTTAGTCGGCCTAAGTAAACGGAGAGTTTTTGTTTTAATGTATCCAGGCACTGGTGTGCTGTGTTTTTTTATTCTTCATGTTGTGAGTGTATTGGGGTACTTAGCAATAATTCCTCAGCTCTTTTGATTAGTTTTCTACTAGTTGTTCCTTGAATGTATTCCGTGATTTGATCAATATCCCTACGCAATGATTCAATTTTTCTTAGCAGCTGTTTTTTCCCAAGGTGCAATCCTATCTTCTGTCCTGATTTTAGTACCCCTTCGTATTCTGATCTTAATACTAATAACATTAGTAGTTGCTGATGCTGCACAGTAGATCAGCAAATGCAAATATTGGAATGTCTGAACTTCTACGGCATAATTGGGTAGGACTTCAGTGTTCACAATTTGTAACAGCGCACCTAGTTTCTTGGAAGACTTTATTTTTGGTAGCGGTGGTAGCGACTAGGGTAGGTGTCCCTACCGCTAAGGAAAATTTACTTATAAGGGGCGAAAATCTTTATCGGTTCAAAAATGTTTCTGTGTGAATTTTTATTTTGCAAGTAAAGTTGTGGGCCGAAATTAAAACAATCAGTTTGAGCAGACGTATTTTTAAGACTGGACGGACGGACAGACAAACAAAAAAGAAGACTCATGAAAAGGTGTATAAATTTTGGCAACTTTAGGACAACGTTATGTAATTTCCATAATTTAATAGTAAAAATCATTGATCGGTATATATTTAATAGGGTTTAAACGAAGATACGTGAGATAGTCTATGTAGACTGTCTTCTGTACCTTCATCTTGGGCTTTCAATAAAGGAAACAGAACAGATAAAGTCGTCCAAGGTACACTAAAACTAATTGTGAGGAAGTATTATTTTCTGGCCTGTGCGATATTTTTGAAATGTCTTTCTTTAATTAGGTCCTAATGTTGCCATGTTTTGAGCCCTATTTAACATCAATTTATGTTTCTGTTAAATTCTTTTTTTACAATTAAACCAATTTTTTAGGAAAAGTGTAGAAACCTGCATACATTTAATGTTGGTTACAACAACTTGACTGACGCAGTACTTAAGCATATAAATCTTAGTTTGCCTTTAACGAAATCACTTGAAGGTTTAGGATTACAATGTACATTATTGACGTGCAAAGGAGTATACGAACTTGCAGAAGCTATACCAAATAATACAACTCTTAGGGTAATTTGTGTAGAACTATAATAATTACCATTTTTATTTGCTGATATTTTTTAGAAAATTAATCTTAAAGGAAATAAAGCGATCCAGGTAAATGGAGTCGAAAAACTATGCCAGGCGTTAACCAATTCTAAGATAAATAAAATTGAAATCGATGAAAACAATAGGTCTTGCAGTGTAAGTATATATTTTTTCGTCTATATGCCTTTTCCTTATAATCAGATTGTGAACTATCTGCTACTCTTATTTATATAATGCTAATACAATAAAATAAAACTTAATATAACGTTAATTAATTCCGCCTTCCATATACAGGGTCAATTATTAGTGATAAAGCCCAGTAGATCCGCTATAATAATAGATAGCAATAAAAGTTAATAGGCTCGTAGAGCTAGCATCGGCTAACAATATGCTTGTAAAGTCTACTATGTTCCAAAATAAAAACATTCATAAACAGACTTGGGTCTCTAATGACCACTCCACGCGGAACCAAATTGACCACGTAATTATCGATGCTAGACATGGAAGTAATGTGCTGGATGTAAGAAGCTTCAAGGGAGTAAATTGAGATACAGACCCATCACCTATCTAATCTATCTATCTAATTAGCCTTCTTCGGTCCATCTTTGGACATAGGCCTCCCCAATCCTTTTCCATTCTTCTTTGTCTGTCGCTACAGTCATCCATCTAGAGCCCACGTGCTTCTTGATATCATCTACCCATCTCATTTGGGGCCTTCCTCTGCTTCGTTTATATTCCCAGGGTCTCCAACTTTTTGTCTTATATTGTGTCCGGCAAATCTCCATTTCAATTTTGCAACTTCTTGTCTAACATCCCTCACTTTTGTTTTCTCTCTTATCCACTCGTTTCTCTTCTTATCCATTAGTCTTATGTGCAACATTTGTCTTTCCATTGCTCTTTGGGTTTTTATGAGGTATAATTTTCTTCAGTGTCCATGCTTCCATCCCGTATTATAATACAGATAGTACGTAGCGCCCCAGCAATCGTATTTTTAACTTAAGGTTTAAGTTTCTACAGTAGAGAAGCCGTTGTATTCTTGTAAATGCGCTTCTGGCCTGTTTGATTCTGATTCGTATTTCTTGAGAGCTGTCATTGTTTTCATTAATAGTTGTATCTACGTATTTGAATTCTCTTCCTATTTCAATAGGCTGATTCTGTACATATATCTCACGAATGTCCTGAGTTGTCTTTGTTATTATCATCTATTTCTTGCTCTGTTGAGTGATGGTCCATATTCTTCTTCGCTTACTGCGGTCACCGAATTAAGAAATATCTGTAGGTCTTCATGTGATTCGGCTAAGAGCACTGTATCATCAGCGTATCTCAGGTTATTTATGATCATGTCATTAATTCTAATGTCTACGTTTCGTTAATCCATTGCCTTACTTAATATGTCTTCCGATTATACATATTAAATAATACTGGTGTATGTATACACCCTTGTCGGACAACTCTTTGTACTTCTATTTCTTTTGATGTTATTTCTTCTATTCTCACTACTACTTTTTGGCCATAGTATAAGTAACACAAAAAAAAACTGTTTTCAAAAATTTATTAGGTAACTTCTAAATTAATTACATAAATAAAAGATAATTCTAATCATAAAAACTATTTATTCACTAATGCGTAATAATAATAGTTTTTTTGAAAACACTGAAAAGTAGAATTTAAATATCAGTGTAATAAAATATTATAGAAAAATACTGTCAGTGGAGAGTTTCCTTAAAGATATAATATCCTTAGACAAATTCATGGTGAAATATTTCGGTCATAAGCTAGCAAAACATTAATTAGAGAGGAGCCCGTCAGATTTGGATATAAGAATTGGATGATAACTGGTTTCACTGGATATGATTATAGTTTTCACGTTTGTTGCAAAAAAAAACGAATGATATTGAAGATAATAAAAAAATACCACTTGCAGCTAAAGTAGTAATTGATCTTTTGAAATATAGGCCTGAACCATGTAGAAATGAAATTAGATCAGGTCATTGAATGAGGACCTAGGAGTTTCCTGTGTTTACAACGCTTTGAGCAGAGACAAGTATTTATAAATAACAAAATTTGTTTATCTAGCGGATAATGTCAAAATAGACGATTCTACAGTTTGTATGTACAAAATTAGACTTTTAGCAGATAAAATTATAGAAAAATACTGCCAGTGAGGATGTTTCCATAAAGATATTTCCTTAGACAACTCCATGGTGAAATATTTATATTTTCCAATTGAAAATATTTAAGCAATTTTAATATTAGAACTTGTTCTTTTTCCATATATCTTGTCATCTTGTACAAATACAAATAAAACCTCAATCACAATACTATGTAAAACAAAATACAAAACAAAATTATACAAAACAAAATTATACAAAACAAATACCAAAGAATATAAATATATTATATAGCGTCTATATTCTTTGCAAATACTGACCTGAACGACAGCCGTCACTTACTGTTTGAACACTTCGAAAGAATGGCCAGCATGGACGAAGTTTTATGTCAACTATCAGTGATAGGCGTATTTGATTGGTTAGAGAAAGCGCGCATCTAAATATCAACGTATCAAACGTAGGTTAGGAAAGAACCGCTTATGTATGTAAGCTTATTCTAACGCTGCAATATAGTTCTGTTTAATCACGGAACTACCGCTTTCTCCGTCACATCCAACATAATGCATTAGAAAGAAATCGAAAAACTGTGACGCACTGAAAAGTACCTCTGGGATGTTCTATAGTGAGAAATATCGTAGCAAGATTTTCTGTCTTCGAGTTTGTGTTTACCTTACCAAATGATACAATACAAATATACAGCCAAGTTAATTTGAAACATTTTTTTAGGATCCAGAAGCCTACTCGCAGCTGGTAAAAAAATTGTCCGCCATATGTACCGTCAACAAATCATTTATAAGTGAGGAACAAGACGTACCCGATACTCATATTATATCTCGCAAAATGTCCCTAAATTGCGAACCGAGATACACTGTGCCGGAGTCGACTAGCTTATTCCATGTAGGATCTTCTCGACTTTCGCCTATTCCATCTCCTGTATCCAGTCCATCGCCCAAAAGTCGTTTTCATATAGTTAAAGTTAGCGAAACAGGTGGAGAAGGCCATGCGACTTCTGCGAGCACTAGTCATAGTCCTAGCCCTAGTTCGAGATCCAAATCCAGGTAAGAAAATGCAGAGAGTTAGCTTTGGTCATACTGATCAAAAGTTCTTATTGCCCCAAGACTCAGAAATCAATTATTATTTCTGAATTAAGAGCTTAAAAGTGTCGGTTTTTAGTCGTTTGAAAACGATTTCCGATGAAAACTTAAAGCATTCGATTGCTTGAAGTAAGTAAACTGACAAATTTTTTGAATGTAAAATCGACCCTACTATAGCTCCCACTATCACAGGGTTTCCATTTTCCTTTTATAAACCATTACAGTCATTAAACATGAGGAATGTAAATACAAAAAGTATAAATCCGAAGATTTCTAAGTGTCTAAATCAAAATTTAGATTATTGCCTAAATCTGTGCTTTCTACAATTTTCAAAGCAAACAGACGATGAATGGACCGACATGGGGAATCTCAAATTTGATTTCACGTTCAGCACCCAGTGGCTCTAATGAGTCTTGTTAACTCTTTCACTCATAGTGTCAATTGACGACGCAAGAATTTTATCTTCGTTTAAGTAAATATTACAGGATGTTATGGTATAGCAACGGTGTAGTTATCTCACAACATCCAATCTTAATTAGATTTACGACCCGTAATACAATCTGTTAAATTCCAGTTGAACTAAAGCAGTTTCTCTGTTTACATTCACAACGGTTTATGAAAGCTATCGATGCTATTAAAATTATTATATTTTTTGACCCTTCTAAAACTGAGATACATTGTGTTCTTTTCAAATATTGGAAGCTTCTAGGTGCAAATAATTAAATTATCTAGTAAGTACAATTCAAAATTTCCATAATATGTCAAATTATTTTTTTGAAATTATATGTCGTCATTTGACGACATCGTGACTCAACGACTTGAGTAATAAACATTTTCACGGTTATTATTAAATCTAAAAATAAGTCAAATAAAGAGATTTAAGCCTCTTTCCGGCCATCTAAAGAAGCTTTAGATTTAGTTTATTTTAGAGCCTATATTGCAGAAGCTTTAATTTCATGTCGTATAGGAGCTAGAAAAATAGATATTCCCGTCAAATGGAACTAAATCAGAACCATTGAACAATAAAAAGAACCAAGAAACCGGCCTATTGATGATGTAAAATTTCACAGGATAGCGCATTTTCCATTGCTTGCAGAAACGAAATCTGAAGATGTAAACTCCCAGAATGTAAAGGCAGTTCCCTTATTCTTTGTCAAAAATGTAAAGTACATCTATGTTTGACAAAAAATAAAAATTGTTTTTTACAGTTTTATAAACCGAAATTTTGTTTAATATATTATAATCATTAAATCATGTTTTTTTAAGTAAATAAATTTATTTTTATTCTAACGTTTGGCTGTAAAATTATGTCATACCTATTCATTAGTTTGTAACCAGTTAGTCACAATGTCGTCAATTGACGACATCAAAAACGGGCCTTATTTTAATAAGAAAATGGTAATATTCTTACCGAAATACATTAAGAATACCACAATTGGGTAGGAATTATTACCAAAATATTTTTCATTGCATTAAAAAAAAAAAAATCGTGACCGAAAGGGTTAAGACGAAATGCGTATAAGCGAATAGTAGAGGTACTATACGTGACGTCAAATCGTAACTCTCTTTTCAGATTTCTCTATGAGAAATGTAGTTAATATCAGCCAATATTGAGTCTTTTTTGCTTCTGGAAGCAATTATAAGACTGTACGTAAATGCGATAAATTCAAAATTTTAATGTTTATATCGCGAAATTAAACGAATTAATCAAAGATATTTTAAGATAAGGTATTTATAATCGTTTTCATCGTTATTGGCGTGTGCGTGTAAAAAACACTTGCAATAAGTTGTTTAATCTGTCTTTCCTTGTCTAAGCTCGATTCGTTTTACCTCCTCCAGTGGCGGAGCAAAATGTAGCATGTCAAACAAAATAATAGTTATAAAAGAAAATTATAAATTATTTTTCATTAAATTTCTAATAACGGAATATACGTATAAATTGCGAAGAAGTATTTTTCTAGCTTGCAGTACAATAGGACAGGATATAACGAAAAGTACATTTAAAAGGATTTTGAAATATACCCAAAAAAGTGTTAATTATTTAACCCACTTTAATTAAAAAATGATACGGTTTTTTTAAGTTTTAAGCACTGTGGCGAATTCTGAGCTGTTACAACGTACTGACCTTGATTAATTAGCTAAACAGTCAGCGTCTTCACTGGAACTATCTTCATCATTGGAATCATCCGCCAAATCGATGATAATCCTACTTTCATTTTCATCATATGTGATCATTTTTGCCCAGTCGTCCGGAATTAATTTTTTAGTATGGTTAACACAACTCGCCCACACTGCAGATGTTGCCTCAGCTAATGCATCGCCCCAAACTTTTTTCACTGTTTCATCTCCACGTCCATGTTCTCCAATATGACGATCATATTATTGTTTAGAAATGCCCCAGACCAACTCAATCGGATTATATTGACAGTGATATGGAGGCAATCTCAAAACCTGATACCCATGTTCTTGGAGTAGCTCGTCTATAACGTACCTGGTATTTTGTGGTTTATTCTGGCGACAAAGACTCAATAGCTCTGTCTTGCCCGAATCGTCGTCAAAAATTATTTTTTTCGCTCGTAACCATTCTTGTAAGTCCGATTTTTTCCAACTGGCAGTCGGTAACTTTTCTATTAAAGAGCTATGGTATGAGGCATTATCCATAATAATTAGAGATGGTTCCTCCAATATTGATATCAGCTTTTCGGAGAACCACTTTTTAAAAGACTCTTTATCCATAGAATCATGATAGTCTGCACTCTTCGATTTCGTAGAAAAACAGTAATCCAGCATGTTTAACAAATCCTTGTCTACTTCCGGCATGTAAAACAACAAATCGTTTACCAGTATTTTCGTGTCCTTTTCTGATGCTTTTCACACAGTCATCTTGCCAAGTACGTTTATATGCCCCTTTTAGGAATATCCATGTTTCATCTAGAAAAAGGAACTTAAGTGGGCTTGGACTTAAAAAATTTCTCATATAATGCCTCAAAAATTACAGTCGTTTGGAGACAATACATGGTTTCTCACATAGCACTCGTCTACTATTTATAGTATACACGTCACAAACTTGTATCAGAACCATCATAGAGATGCTTGTTTCTTAATTGTGTATTTAGAACTTTAATTGTAACGTGCTCTCCTTTTGCTTTCATGCCATTTCTAATCTCTCCTTTTATAGTATCGCTGACATCATTAGTCTTTTTTTTGTACATAACGTGACTCTCCTGGTGTAGTAAGAGTCTTGTATTCACTCTTTAGTGAATACACTAAACAATGACTGACAACAAATGACTGACTAAAATCGACTAAAACAACATAAAATATCAATGGTAATTGCTACAATTATAAACCTATTAGCCAGCTCATTCAAGAACAATGCCACAAGTCCTTATTGCAATGGGTATCGGAAGAGAGAGAGAGAGAGAGTTAATTTATAATAAACTGGAATTTTTAAGGTGTGGAGAGTATTATTTTATGTAATGGAATTCCACACAGTAAGAGCTCAAACTATCAATTAATTAAAAACTGTTTACTTATAAAAACTATTTCATCAGCTACTTCAAACCTGCAAAGATCAGGGTAACATGTTAAAAAAACACGTCACTGCTAGCTATCTGTATTCGTAAAGAGGCCGAACTTATCACCGACTCCGTATCGGCCAAACGCATCGGTGTTATAGCTACAATACTGGGAGACGTGAGTGGTCTCTTCATTCCCTTCTCATCGCACTTTACCATGACGAACGTGACTCGCACAATTGAATTACGCATCTGTGTATCAGAGAGAGATGAATATTAAAATTCCGTAGTAGCTTATTTCAGGCACACGTCAAGAACGATGAAAACGAGTATAACTATTTTTTTTTCTTGTAATGCTAGAATTTCTTTCTTTGATAATGATACAATTTACAGATTCCAAGTAACTAGAGTACCTCAATCACCAGATGAAGATGTTTCATTAGGCAGATTCGCTAACGTCCGCAGCAGTGTATCTTCCAATGATAGTATGGATTCTCTTACTACGTTGCATTTAGATAGTGATAGTGAATAACATTTATTATTGTTTGATGTTATTTGTATCATTATTGTTGTTTTCTGAGGTATTACTAGGATAAGTGTCGTGTTACAGTAAACACGCTAAAAACTATTGCTTTTTAAATTTTCTCAAATTTTTGCATTTATGAGATATATTTTTCAGTAATTCCTAAACAATTAATTAATTAACGGTAGGTAACATCTCAATACAATATTGGCGACGTGCAAGTACTTGGATGTGATACGAGAAATGATCGTGCGCGAGTAGCGGAGAAATCTTGCATTTTTTACTGCAAATTTCATAGATTTCATAAATTCATATTGTCAATTGTCATATTTCATATTCGTTTGTTTATTTACACCTTCTGTCACTCAAGAAAATGGGATTTAGGAAATGCTGTGTTATAAATTGTAAAAATACAACAAAAAATTGTTAATTTAAGTTTTATTCGTTTCCAACTTCGAAGCACAAATTACTACAAAGAGAAAGTGGATTTATATCATAAAAAAGCATAAGTAACATAACCTAAATTATGCATTATTCTGGCGCCCGATTTTAAAGTCAGTTTGAAATAAATAATAAATAAAAGTTCACTTTTAAGTGTAAATTTTAGTTTCATAACACTCACTTGAGTTCATTTTAAATTGACGTTTAATTTCCAGAAAAGTTGCAACACATTTTATGAACATAGAAGAAGCTTGCTGATGGTCCCAGTTCCAATCACTGTCTAATACTACTAACAATCAGTGAGCATACCATAATAAGAGACAGGTACCCTAACTGAACTAATAACGTGGGAGTGGGATATATTTAGACAGGAGTTAAGTGATAATTTACCTCACTGTACCAATCAAAACTAATGAACAACTTGACTGAACAAGAAGTAAAAAATTTAACCATAAATATACATGGAAATATGCATGGAACAATACTAAACAAATTATCGGAAACGGAAAAACGACGGGTCAAAATTATCCCTAAGAAATTGAAGAATTCAAAGAAATTATTCCTTCAACGTCAATGTTCTGGAGTTAGCATCACATCAAATGACACAAACTATATATTTCACAGATTACAGCTTCTAGGCTTAATTTTAGGTAATGCTTCATCAAAAAACAGGAAATAAAAAATATCTACTGTGAATTATGGTCTGTTATATCCCACTGGAGCATAGGGCGGGCATTGGTGAATACTTCATGCCTATTGATTTTCTTTCAACAGTTTCCCCTCGATCCCAGTTTTTCTTACTCTGCTATCCTCGTTCTTCACATTTCTCTATGTATCCTTCGCAGCAGCAGATTTTTTAAACGTATACCCAGTCCATTCCAACTTGTTATAATTTCCTTTATATTTCCTTTTCATAATTTTATAATAAAAAATAGTGTATAATTGCACAAAAGAGCCATCTTAGTTTGCTCCGCCACCACGTTCCCAAATTGGTGGGCCAGCGTTTCAAAAATCACTCATTTTGCAATTTGTGTAGTAGTTTCTTTAGCCTCATGTTATATTTGCTCTACTTTTGTAGTTTCGAATTCACGAATTGGATTCCACATTAAACACAAGCAGGTAATACGTCATCAAATCAAATATCACATAACTTCGATGAATTATATTATTTAGATATGATACTTTTTTAGAAAAGTATTTAAAAATATGCATAAGTACCTAATACTTCCCAAAATATTTAATATTATTATTTTAAAACAACTAGTGGATTAAATATGGTGTATTTTATATTCCGTTTGAATTTTTGCACCAAAATGTTTTTCTCAACATTTCCAAACAAATTTTCCAAACACTGGTAAACAGTTAAGATGATATAAAGGTTTTTTTATAAATTTTTGTAAATAAAAAGACGAATTTTTAGTTTGTGTAATTGTTGTGCGATACTTCAATGTGCAAATACTGTAAATAAAGCACCTGAAATGTTATTTCTTCATATAAGTTAAAAAATAATAGGAATATTTGTCTTGGGCATACAATGACATTGCATATAACAATAAAATATCTTAATGATATAGATAAATAGTGTTTTTAGGTTTTCTTTTATGGAAACTACCGTTTTGTGACAAAATTTTATTTTTATTTTAATACAGTGAACATTATAACGTGATGTTACACTTCCGGTTTGCTTAATAGTGTTGGATTCACTGTTCAATATTTGTAAGTAGCTTTAGGAATTTCTGATGAATACTATGAAAAGTGTAAATAGCGTTTAATTTTATTTAGCAACAAAGTTAGCTAAGAGAAATATATATATTTTGTGAAAATTTATGAATCGATAGTTCTATATAGTACTTTTTTAGGGTTCAAATTTAAAAGGGTTTATGGATTATATTATTAAATTTGCTTTAGTAACAACTTGTTGGTTATATACTGACAAAAACTTGATAGTAGAAATATAAGTAACTTGTATTGTGTTTCATATCGTTTACTGTTATTGATTACAAAGTTTTTACTGTGATTTGGGGTTAATTGAGATATTTTATAAATATTTTTTTATGATACTACAATATAATTAGGAGAAAAGAAATAATTGAACCGATAGCATATATAATATACCTGATAAAATAAGCTTAGACCAAAAAACTGGCGTACTAAAATTGCTATTATTGTGTAGACTACTCAACTTACATATATAAAGTATTATATTAATAGGCAGCTATTCTTAGTTAGTATAATTTTTAGTTACTCATTTTTATTACCTGAAATGAGTTGGCGTGGTAGATTACCTGATAGCGGTTGGCGAAACTTTACAATTACAAACATATTAAAGCAATGATCTCTGGACCACTAGACACATTTCTTATATTTATTTTATTTGTTTGTTCTCTTGTAGATATATTCTTTCTTTATACTTTTTCAAAGTATTTCTTTATACTTTCTTTTTTTAATATTTAATAATTATTTCACAATTCCTGAAATTTATAAATTTCTTTTAATTATTTTTAGTTAGGCGTTTAAAAGTATACATTTTACAAAGTTATTCAAATATCTTTGTGTGACACATTTCCCTTTGACAAGGATCAGTTAGTTACGTTCCCCGCCTTTTAAGGTCATAAAGCCATCAATTTTTGTACGAAACTTACTCCATAGTTATTACTAACATTTAATGCTGAAAGGGGAAAGGGTTAGCTAAAATTATTAATCGAATAAATAAAATTTTTCCTCGTACTGTGATTAAATTTCATTATTAATGAAATTTTGGAAACTCGTGTTCTGTAATATAACCTAAAAAATAACAATATTTTTAATTTCCACATAATATAGTCAAGATTTAGCTGAATAATAAACGAAGAATAGCTTCCTCAGAAGGATAACTGTAATCTATTTTGTATGCTAATTATTTGTATATAAATAAAAGGGCATTTTAGTACATTTTACTAAGTACCTGAGAGACAGTAACGGTGAAATTTCTTATTTGTTCGTTAAGAATAAAGTATTATGTTTTTAATGCAGCTAATTTCTAAAATTTCGAGTAAGTTTATTTTTTAATTTAATTATTGTGATATGTGGAATTGATTTTTGTCGATAAAATTATTCTTTTTTGAACTATGTATATAGACATGTACTTTTTATAATATAGACATGTACTTTTAATAGAACATAATGTATTGTCCAGGGAAATAAGATTTTTCTCGTGACACTGACTCTACCAGACAAACGATAGTTGTTTTGAGAAGTATAGACCTCTATAACAAGAACCTGCAGTAGATTTTTTGAACTTTAGTTATTAACATATTAAAGTCATGGTAAAGGCTATAGTGGGATAAGATGGTCAAAAGTGCCCCGCACCGACCAGCACCGCGACTTGTGCTTTCAATATAGCATATAAAAACATTACTTCATACAAATTTTTAGCTTCCCACAGCTCATGGAACCCCTTAAATCTAAAAAAGAAGCTTTTTTCAACTTTATTTTTTCTGGACGCAATTTTGCTTTAAAAAATCTGAAAACATTCATGAAGATGTAACTTTCGAATACAAAATAGCCTGATTTTTTTCAGATTTTATATTGAAAAATTGAGCTCAGGAAAAATCATTGAAATTTTCAATAATTTTTTAATCATGGTTTTCTAATATTTTTCCACTTTATTACCCACTTTTTTTAGCCACTATAGTAGCTAAATGATCAAATTTCCGCGTATCTTTGATCGCACCCTTTAATTTTGTTATACCACTTGTCTTTCGAAAAAAACGTACAGTTTTTTTCTGCAACAATTGTTTCTATCGCTTTTAATCGCATATCACTTTTTGTGTTAAAGTCTTAGCTGATAATGCATGTTGTCTACATATAGTCTAGTGCCAAATGCTTATCAAAATAAATAAGTTACTAGATAATGATAGAGAACGCCTATGGGATATATCATACCTTTGTCCGAAAATCCGTTGCGAGTTAATATCGTAAATCCCTTTTACAACAGCAATATCTGCTACGCGCATCTTCTGTAACCATGACAACGACAATGGGAGTATGCGCGTTGCAGACATTGTTTCTGTCACTGCTTTCGCATTGGTGTTGGCGTCGCCTTCGTATCGCATTCGTGTTGCCGTCGCCTTCGTACCGCTTTGACTGTTAAGGTCGATTCAGACACATCAGTCCCGTCACAGTCTCGGCGCCGAACCGGTCCTGTTTGGTAACAGAACTATTAATTATCTGACAGATGGGAACTGTTCGTCAACTGATGAATGTGAATGCCGGCGCCATATTTCTATTAAAGAATATTTTGTATGACGGATTGTTCGGTTCGGCGCCAGGACTGTGACGAGACGTGACTGGTGTGTCTGAATCGACTTTAAAGGTCGTTTCAGACACATCAGTCCCGTCACAATTATGGCGCCGAACCGGTCCTGTTTGGTCACAGAACTATTAACTATCTGACAGCTGGGAAACTGTTCGTCGCCTGATGAATGTGAATATCTGCGCCATATTTATATTAAAGAATATTTTGTATGACGGATTGTTCGGTTCGGCGCCAGGACTGTGACGAGACGTGACTGGTGTGTCTGAATCGACCTTTAGTCTTATTATCAAATAATCCTCTAAGTCGCAGTCAGATACTATCTCAGTAATTCAAGATATAAATGGAGAATCATAAGACCAGCAAAAATTCTATCAGAAATTTTTACATCTGATGTTGAATCAGTCATAGACGAGAATAGTGATGAGGACTAAAATGTAATTGAATGTTTAAACTGTTAATTTAAAAAACAT